CAGGTGCTGCTGCTGCCAAGGATGCTCTGGCGGGTGGCCTGACCTGAATTTGGCAAAGACTTTGACCTCCTTGGGATGATTAAAGCTGATGGATATTTCCAGGTCACTAGACAAGAGAATAAGGTGCTGAGGGCACTATTAGAGGAAGTTCCTCCTTTTATGAGCATGGAGAAACTTGAAAGGCCTTTAGGACAGGGCATAGGTGTGCTTTGAATCCTGCAAAGTTGAAAGCTCACTTTAGCCCCTGGTGTCCTCCATTTATGCTCACTGTAAAGAGGCTACATAAGCCCCCCACCTCCAGCAGGACTCTGGACACACCATGCTGGGAACATTCATTCAGCCACTCTGGGAAGGCAAAGATTAATTTCAAAGTAGTGGGAAACCTTTTATGTCTCCTGGGTCTGATCTGGCAGTGTCTGATCTGCAGACGAAAATAACAGAGTTCTTGGCACATGACAGGATCCATCCTGTTTTCTGGAGCAGGCAGGGAAAAGGACAAGCTCTCATTTTCCCTCCTCCTCTCTGGCCAGCCCAGCTCCCTCAGCGTAGAAGGGCTGGCTGGCACTGGCAGGGCTGTTCAAGGTGGCACTGGGAAAGCAATGGCTGGAATTACTCAGACAGGAGCAGGAGACACTGAGATAAGTGCAGCAGATGATTCACAAAGGCATACTGAGGAGGTTGTGCCCCTCCAGCAAGGAAACTGAGGCAAGGAGAGGAAGAGGAACTTACACCAGCTTGTAGCAGGATGGCAGAAAAGCCAGGAGATGATCTTAGGTGATGTTTTTTGCTGTAAGGACTCATTGGATGTTGGTAGTGACTAAACACAGTCATGACACTTGTCTTAAGATCTAACTAATCATCTGCCCCATCACCACTTCACTCTGCACAGCTCTCTGATCAGGGTGGCTGATGCTTTCTCCACGTGCAGTGGAGTGAAAGAGGCTCAGAGGTGGGGCCCAGCCTGCCCCAAAACACAGCATCCACATCTTCCCAAGCATCTGTGGTGAGGATAAATCAGGAGCAGATGTACACATCCATTTCCACGTAGGCAGTGTCCTCCCTGTGATTACAAAATACCCATAAAATTATAGAGGTAAGAAAAGGGATGGCTTTATCTGAGCAAATGTGGAGGTGGGGCTGACAGCCCTGCTGGGAATTGGTGCTCTGAGCCAGATGCTTGTAGCAATAAAAAGCAAGGCCTCACCTGTCTGGTACTGTTCCAGGAGCAGATGCTCAGCCTGAATCGATTCCTCCCACATCTCTGCCTATCTTCTTCCTCTGATGACTCCCCTGTTTCCCAGACCATCTCTTGGGCCCCCCTGTCTTGCTGAGCAAGGTTCAGTTTCTCCAGGGTAGCTGCTCATGCCTAAGGTGCTCACAGAGCCTGGACTGGAAGTGGGTGGAGAAGTCTCAGGGAGAATTTCTCAGGCAGAGGAAGCCAGGGAGTTAAATTGCTTCACACAAGCCTGTCAGCTTTGATGGTTTTAAACACATCAGCTTTGGAGCAAGGAGGAACAGAGCTGCTGTGGTGTGCAAAGCTCAGTGTCAGAGGAAGGAACAGAGCCAGGACTCCTTGCTCTGTTGGTTTCTTTATGTCATGGTGCCTCTTGAGAGTTTGGGCAACTGGGCCATCAGGTTTGGCCACTGAACTCAGCAACTCTCAAGGCTGCAGGTTCTGAGAGGGACCAGTGGCTGAGCTGGGCTGTGTTTCTCAATCCCTGCTGGATCTGAAACTATGCCAGAGCACAGGCAGCCTGAGAAATACCACGAAGGAGAAGGACACGTGGCATGTTTAGAGAGCTACTGGGACCACTGACACAGTAGTCTGGATGCAGTGGTCTCCAGAGCCCCTGGCTTTGTTTCTGCTGGAGCAGAGATGTTGCTTTATGTCAGTGTCTAATTCTTTTAGCTTGTCCTGCACTGAATTTTCATACCAGAACAGCCTGCCCTCCTGCAAGGTCACAAAAGGCTTTTTATTCAACCCCATGACACATATAAATCCTCCCACACTGTCCACTGAGGAAGCTGTGCAGATTGATTTGCAGCCAGGCAAGAAAAATTCACAATCTCTTGGCTACTTCTTCTGAAATCACTGCTCACCCCAGATAGCACACAGGCCATAGTTCACAGATTTTTCAAAGGCTTCTGCTAACTGCTCTGCCCTGGGTTAGCACCCAGGGTCCCAGAGCTAACAGGCTTTCAAGGCCTGTCTCCATCCTGAGGACAGAGTTGTTTGGTTTTCTCCCCTCCACTCCTCCTTTGGGCAGGGGAGGGAAGTGGGGGGCAAGGGCCAGGACCAGAGCAACAAGAAGATGAGCAGAAAGGTTTGCAGGGGGCAGCAGAACAAATGGGAGGGAGGATGGTCCAAACTCCAAGGGGAGAAGAGCTGTGAGCACCCCAAGGACAGAGGGAGGGAGGGCACTGCCGTTTCACCACATCGTGTGCAGACCTTAGAGTGTCAGTTCTCAGAGTGATGTAGCACAAATTCCTGGTGTAAGCGTGTTCCTTTTGTAAGTCGTCTCCTACCCTCACTATTTTCAGTGTCCCTTGATTTTTGGAGACTGTTGTAAATAAAAGATTTTGACATTCTCACGTTTGGATCCCTCACTCATCACCACGTTGCTGTTGATGCCAACGCAGCGACAGCCAGAGTGGCACTGGCAGGATCTGTGCTGTGTGTGGAAGGAATGCAGGGGGAAGGAGGCACAGAACCAGTGCACAAGCTTGGCTGCTCCTACTGCTGAAATCAGGCCTCTTGAAGCCAATTTATCACATCCAGAAGAGCTGGCAGTCTGGAAAAGGCCGCTCAGGATCCCACGCAGGTCTGCAAGAGGACTGGATCAAGCAGGAGCATTAGCCAAGCTTTGTGGAGGTTTTTTACTCCTCCACTCCATGCTGTGCTTCTTCCAGAGCATGAAGATTGTCCTGTGCTGACTCCACAAGAAGGGGATTCACCTGCCTGCTCCTGCAGCACTGCAGCTTCCCAAAGCATGAACTTCTGGTCGTGGTTTCCCTCTTGCTGCAGCACCCAAAGGGCTGTTCTGCACCTCCCAGGACCTCTGAGTGAGGGGAAGACCCCTGCACCCCCTCATTTGGGTGTGCCCACAGAGCAGCCACGTACAACGCTGCTGGGGAGGACAGCACTGACAGCACAAACCTCCCTTGATTTCCAGCCCTCACTTCTTCAGTGAGGCCAAAATTTCCGGTAAAACCTCTGTTAATAAATACCAGGAAGGCTCAGATCAGTGCCCACGGGAAGGAGGAATGTGTTCCCTTTAATGAGAAGCTGGGGACTGCCAATAGGGGAGGGTTTATGCTCAACCTTGCCGTTGGGAAACTCACCCCTTGCCCCACAAGCAGGTGTGACAGGCACTCCCTGGCACACGGGCAGGGAGCTGTGTGCGGGCTGTGGACCACAGAGGAGGCACAGGTTTCCCTTTGCAGGACTGAAGGACCACCTGGTGAGTGCCCAGGTCTGCCAAATGTGGGGATGGGGGCACAGGAAAGGGGTGGGACAGCTGCAGGCACAGGCAGAGATGGAAGGTCTCCATGGCTCTTCAGAAAACGGCTGCTGGGCTGAGGAAAGGTTTGGGACAGGGGAAGGGGCTGGGAAGAGGGATTATACAGGCTGACAGCTGCTTGCTATTCATTTCAAGCTGGCAGAGGAGGGAAGGAATTGTGTTTCCATCTGCAGGAGCCTGTCCACGCAGGCTGCTGGCTCAGACCCCGTGCTAATGCTCGTGGTCCACACTCCTAAACCTGCTGCCTGCCACTTGGCAGAGCCCCATCTCTGCTTCCAGGTGAGAGAGTCTGGTGCGAAGTCTTCATCACACACAGCAAATTCCCCTTGGTCTTCTGTCAGCCCCTGGCACAGCGAGCTCTCCATTACCTCCACAGCAGTATTTGAGGATTCTGCCTGTGCTCCCTGTGCCCCTTCTCACACAGGCTCCTTCCCACCCCAAAACCAACCCCACTGCAGGTGGCTTAGCATAGAAACAGGGAGCTTTTAAACCTTACCTGACTCAGCCACGCTGATAGGAAAAAAAAAAAAAAAAAGGAAAAAAAAAAAAAAAAAAAGAAAAAAAAAGGAGTATCTTCAGGGTTTTATTTATTTTTTCTCCTTGGTGTTTTTCTCCCCCCTGCCGTGCTTGGTGCCTCCTCCCACCTCTCTCTCATACTGTGCCTATGAGAGCATTGTCCTGCCTTGAGCTTGGCCCCCAGCTGGTTCCTGAGAGCCCCACATGGCTCGTTATCCCTTTCTGAGAAGCTCGGGAACAGCCTTCCCCCTCTAACAAGCGACACAGGGGTCAGTCAGAGACGATGACTCACCCTCTTGCCTTCCCCGGTAATTTGTCACCCCGCAGATGACACATCTTAGTGGCTCCTCCAGAGCTCTGGCAGCCCCGTGGGGAGCTGTGCCTCGGGGATGCTCTTTTTTTTTATCCTTGTCGGCTCTTTATTCAGTTATTTTGTGCTCCCCAAACCCTGAGGATGGTGATGAGCAAAAGCCAGACAGGCTGGGTGCCAGACAGGCCAGGGCAGGAGCTCAAGCGAGCCCAAAACAGCGGGTACTTGGGAGGTTTGTGGCTCATGTTTTTCTCTGTGTTGGCCCACAGTGCCTATTTCTTGTTGCCTTTTCCTTTTCTCAAGTTAGAGCAAGTTTATTGACTGCAGCAGGCAGGGACAGGGAGCCTCGTAGCACCATGATGGGTGTTTTGACAGGGAGAAAAGCAGTGAAGGAGCCTGGATAGGAATAAAGCCTGAAGTGCCTTGAGCTGGGGTGAGAAAGATTGCCAAAGACTTGGTTTCTACCCCAGATTTGAAGCAGAGAAGCTGCTTTGCCTGCTGGGGTTGTGTGTGCATCAGTCTGGATTAACCTGGCAGTGTAAATGGTGCCGTGGCTGGGCTGGAAGGCACCAGCTGGCACCAGGCTCTGGTGGTGGGACGTGGGGGAGGCTAAATTAAATTACAAACACAGAACATTTCTACTGCCTGCCTGAATCACAGCCTGCCTTAAACAGGAAAGGTTCTGCTTGTGGAAAAGGAGGTTGTGAGGCAGCAGCAAGGGGTGAGTTTGGGCAGGAGGGAGGTGTGGATAGCCAAGAGGGGGTAAGTCTGAGAGGAAGGGCTGTGGTGCTGCTTTGGGTAGCCCATGTGAGAGCACGTGGGCAGGGAGGACAGGCCATGTTCTCTTCCAGTGGAAGATGTGCCAGTCTCACAGTCCCAAGCCGAGGGTGAGGACACCCAGCTGCTGAAGGGCTCAGCTGAAAAGTGGCACTGAGGGCATTGTGGCTTGGCTGGTTTTGGCAGGAAGACGAGCAGCTGATGTTCTGTGTTGGGCTCATCCTAGCTACAGGTGTGGGCACTGATGGCTCATCGCTGACTCCAGGGAGCTCTGCAGCCTCCTTGGAGCGTGATGGGTGTTGGGTGATTAGGAAACTCCCATGTGAAAGGGGAGGAGCCCGGAGATTATTTCTCTAACCAGGCTGAACCCCGAGAGCTGGGCAGGGCAAGCTCAGGGTGAGCTTTTCAGACAGCTGTGCAGAGGTAAATGCCCACAAATGGTTGTCTGAGTGTGGAAGAAGTTCGTTGCCTCAGCGTTGAGCACTGCCTGTCAGAACAGCTCCCCGCTCAGGGCAGAGATGAGAGGCACGAGCTGTCCCTTGGTGACATTCAGGAGCATGATGAGTTTGCAGCCGCCTGCCAAGGCTGCTCTGCTTTGCTTGAAGGGGTTTGTGTTTGATGGATAAGGTAGTTTTGTCACAGGAGGGTGGAGGAGTGATGGTTCATCGCCTTGAGTGTCACCTGGACCCGTGGTTGTTTCCTAAATGAGAGACTGCCCAAGAAGTGCTGCCTGTGGGATTTTCTTTCCAGCTCTTTGTTTGGAGAGGGGGAAGCTTCTCACAAGAGAAACTCCTTAAGCTGCCAGACTGCTCAAGGGGAGGTAGGGGAGATGTGCTGCTTGGGTCATATTTGCTGCTTTTACCTGTTCTGTCTTTACACTCAGTCTTTGTCCTCTGGCACAGAGACACAGCTCTGCTTACAGACAGCAGAAACAGTCTGGGGGGCTGGCTGAATTCTGGGAAAGCTGGACCAGCTTTTTATTTTTCTTTCAAATGCTACTGAGCTAGCTCTGGACAGTGCTCCTATGCATGCTCTTTGGGGGTCAGCTGCTACAGAGGCTGGTGGCTGATTTCTTAAGTTATTTTTTTTTAACCCTTGCAGTCTTCCTGAGGGTTCCAGTTTGTCAGAAACACAGGTGTGAATAACCAGACTTGCCCTCTGCCCCCACATCCATGTACCTCTCAAAGGAGCTGCTATAAGGGAGCCAAAGGACAAACCCAGGCTGCTGTGAATGCCTGGAATGACAGTGATGATAAACCACGAGATGTCACGAGTGCTTTGTGCCTGTATGTCTCTAAGCTTTATTTTTCCTGATGTAAAAATGGAAGTGACATCTGTGTCTGGTGTGTGAGGCTGTGACCTCATTGAAATCTGCTGCTGGAAGGCTCCTGTGCATCATCTAGGGCTGCCCTGCAGGGGCTCTGCCCTTGCCGAGCTGGCTCTTGTGCAGCACCCTCGCTGTGTCCCAGGGCTCTTGGCAGTAGCTGGGAACATGGGAAAGCTGCTGTTTCCCTGGGGCCTGGATTTTATGTGGGGAGAGAAAATCGCACTCTGAACTCCCCCAGTGCGTGTTTAGGCATCTGGTGTGGTGACAGATCTCACCCTCCAATATGCAGTTGCCATCCTCCAGCTGCTGCCAGAGGCTCAGGTTTGCTGGGGCTTTGCTGCTCTGGAGCTTTATGGCTGAGCAGTCTGGTGATCAACCTGAGAGAAGAGCATTCCTTAACCCTGGACAGCACAGAGGGCACCAGGTCAGAGACCCCCAACTAAGCACTAATTTTGCCTTCCACAGGTTATCACCGTGTGCTACCAGAGAAGACCCCCAGTGCTCTCCACAAAGCCTCTCTGCTGTCTGCTCTGCTGAGGCCATTTCTAATAAAGCCAACTACAGAAAAGCAGATTCAGCTTCCTCCAGATGCACGGAGACAAGTAAGTTTTTCCTCCAGCACTGCCGCTCTGAGTCCATTCCTTCCAGCTGAGAAAGCTCCTTACCCAGCTGACTCATAACAAACCCCCCTGCCAACCCACAGCTGGATTTTGGGGATGCTCTGTGCCGATGGCTGTGCTGTGGCAGCTCTCAGCAGGGTTACCTGGGTGCTGGGACAGCTCAGCAGGCAGAGCCACTCTCCCTGTGCTGTGTTTGAAGGGGGTCAGTGGCTGCAGCCCTGGCCTGGAGCTGCTGCAAGAGCCTGATGGTGACCAGCCTCTCACCTCACGTGTGCTGGCAGCCTGTCCCATTTATTAGCAGTTAAAACTTGCTGTCTCTGCCCAAACGGAGTGTTTACAGCATTGACGTGAACAGCTGTCCCAGTCAGCCAGATCATAACAAATGGGAGCTCTGGCTGGAGTGTTATTCTGCTGCAAGGGGGCAATACATCTTATTACTAAACAATGAAGCCCGTGATGGATGGTGACGAGTCACTTTGCTGTCTTGCTTGATGATCACACTGAAAAATAAACATAAAACTGAGGATGTTCACAGGGATCTAGGCAGGGCCTTGTATTGTACCTGGGAAGAGACAGCACCGAGGTTCTCTGGTGTCTTATCTGCAAGAGCGTTTGCATCAGGCTATTGGTTATGCTCCCTCCTCTCCGGGAGGAGTGTGGTGGCTGGGGGACAAAATTTGAGGGCAGAGAGGGGAGTGGGGGCTGGTCAAAAATATGAGATGTAGCAAGAGCTAAAGACAACTGGTTTATTTCCTGGGGGCACTGCAGAGCTCTTGTCCTTGGTAACGTCGTCTCATTACAAGGCAGTGTGGGTTGACCTGTGCTGCTTTGATCCAGGCAGAAGGAGGGCTGTGCTACTGTGGGAGCTCAGGGCTCGAAGCTGGGGGGAGTGGGAAGAAGGTACTGCAGAGGCCATGGAGGGAAATGATGGTTTGGGTGGGGATGAGGCCCTCCTGACGTCCAGGCATGTCACCCTGCTGCTTCAAGTGACCTGCATGGAGGACTGCAAGCCGCAGCCTCTGAAATGCTCATTTAGTGCCAGGGCAAAATTGGAGGAATTCTGTTTGATGGACAGACAGAGATGGGTCTGATCAGCCACCTCTGGGTCTGTGCAGCTGCAGCAGCCAAGCTCAAGCCTGGGCAGGTACATCACCCACAGCTGCAGAGACTCTGCTGGGCTCTTGGACTGGGCTCAGCAGGAGCTGCAGAGGGGGGAGAGCTGCTGGCTGAGGGTGGGGTGTGACTCACTGATCTCTACCTTCACCCACGCACCCTTCCCTGCTGCTTCCAAGAGCAGACAGCACAAGGGCCTGGATTTTTCTTTTCGGCTCTCCCCTGCCCTAGGGGTGTTTTCTTTCAAATGGGAGCTGTGAAATGATCAGAACAGGTGGTGCTGTGATTTCACTCCAGCATAAATACATTCGGAGCACAAGTGGGACAAGCAGAAGAGCCCCGTGGGAAGCGGCATCTCCTCTGTTTGGGTGGTGGTGCAGGTGTGGCACAGCAGGGCTGACAGCACTGAGGGCTGGGGCGGCTGTCTGAGTGGCACGGGCAGTGTTGGGAAAGCAATTAAAGCTCATTTAAACTATTAGCATATCAGCAGGAGGGAATTCTTCCGACTGGATTGGTTTCACTAGGGGATTGGGGAATAGGGCCAGCATTCATCTGGCAGCTCTTCTTTCAACACGCTCGTATTCATCACCTGCCCCGCCCGGGCACGGCTGGGATCTGCGGGAGGAGAGCAGCAGAGGGGTTTGGTGTATCCCTGAGGAAGGGCATTCCCAGCCTTTCACTGGGCAGCAGGAGCCGTGGTGATGAATGGCGGTGCAGGGATGAGCTCTCGGTTGGGAGCCCTGAAAGCAAACAACAAAGCAGCTCTGTTTTGGTCTGTGTGTTTGTTGAGTAGATGAAGGACGGGGAAAGCTTTTTAAAAATCCCAGTCCTCTTTTTTTCCCAACACGTTCTCCAGGGTATATATTTATATTTAGTATCTACTTAGCAGAGGGAAGGGGAGGGCTGTCTGGGAAAGGGGGTTTGCTGAGAGAGGATGGGTTTGTAATCCAGACAGATTCAAAGACTAACTTAAATAGAGCATTAATGGAAGAGGGAAAGCTTTGAGACTGCAGCTTTCTATTTTGGAAAAAAAAAAAAAAAAGGAGCTGTCTGTGTGTGCTTGCTGCTGCTGGAGTGCAGGGTGGCTGCTCCCTGCATGGAGCTTTCCTTTCTGGGCACACAGCTGCTCTTGAGGGCATTCGTGCTGGTTGGGGGGATTTGGGGATCAAGTCCTAAGAAGGTCAGGAAGAGAGGGAGTGGAGCTGCCTTACCCCACGGGTGTGTGTGCACTGTGGTGCAACGAGCAGTAATGCTGCCAGCTTTGGTGACCTGCAAGTCACAGCTGGACACATCTGGGAAAGACCCTGTGGCTTTGTCTTTCTTCCCAGGTGGAAATTGGGGCTTTGAAGCTCTGCTGAGCTGTGCCTCTCCCTGCTGCCTGGCTGTCTTCCTGCTGGCTCTGCTGAGGAGCCCATTACCTGGCTCCTGTAACTGTCTTTTCCCTTAAAATCGTTCTGAAATTGGAAAACCCAGTGCTGAAAGATTTGCTGGACATCAGACTGCAGCTGAAATCATTATGCTCCCTTCTTTTGTTCTTGTCAAGGTCACTGTGCATCTGGAGATTTTATTTCTGACTGCTCAGTAAAGATGAGTGCTGGGACCAAGCAACTCCTGAGCAGTGGATCCATGCCCAGGGACTGCCTGGGACCAAGCTGCAGGTTCCTCGGGTGCATTTGCTCTTTGGGTCAGTCAAACCCCTGATTTCTTGGCACGTTTTTGTTGGTAAATACCAATATTTGAAAATTACAGCCCTGTTGCCTGGTTACCATGGGGTAGAGAAATCCCACGGACTTGATTCCTGTGGGTGGCTGTGCATGGGGTGTGAGCAGTGCCCAAGCAGCTGTCTGGGGTAGGAGGGAAATTCAGGACCTGGAGAGTGGCATGAGACGTGAAGTCAGAGATTGAAACTGGAGTTAGGTGATGAGATACTTAACTTTTGTGGATCTGGGTACATGGAATAATAAGAAAATAATTTGAAGAAGGTCTCTGCCCTCCTGCACTAGGAATAGGTAGGAAAAGTTAGGCTCTAATACCACCGAAGAAATCACAGTGTGGTCCCTGGGCAGAGGCGCTGACAATCATTTCCTGCAAACGCTCTGGCCAGCGAAGTCAGTCACTCAAATATTTGCTGACTGAGAGGTGGGTTCTCAGCTCAGCCTGTGCCTGGCTGAGCCCTTGCCAAGGAGACACGAGGATGACGGGAGAGGTGACCTGGGCTGCTGTTGGTTTCTGCACTCGGAGGAATTTTGCTTCTGAAAAATGCAAATGTGGTTGGAACCAATTTTGTTCACGAACGTGAACAGACACTCAAAGGACCTTTTTTTCAATCTCCCCATGACTTCTCCTTCTCTAATTGCTAGGATGAATGCATAAACCCTTATACTGAAGTGTTCACAAGAGCTCGTTTACTCATTTTACTCTTTTTCTTGGCATAGAAGTTGTCTTATTAAGCAGGTTTTAATGTTTGCTCACCAAGAGACATGGATTATAAAGCTTCAGGAATAACTTGCATCTGGAAAAACCAATTAATAAAACAAAAATTCTGATGTCATTTTCTCATAAATTAAGAATTTATAGATAATTTACAGTGCTCATGTCATTAGGCAAATGGACTTTAAATTGATTTTGAATTAGTGGGTTAATGATTCCCCACAGGTGCCATTCCAAGGGGCAGCATTTGCAGGGTGTTTTTTCAGGGAAGGGGTAGGTGTGCAGGAGTAACTGAGGCAGTAATTGGAGTGGTGGTCACATCCACGTGCAGTATTGATCTGCAGAAAAAGTGCTGACTGTCTCCATCACTGTGGCAAAGAGGGGGCAGGAAAGGACTCTGGGAAAGACTGCTGTCTCTGCACATTTCTCCTCTCATAACTTCCCTTTGGTCCACGTTAACTCCAGGTGGAACGTCAAGGCAGCCGATTGATTAGGTCGTGTTAAATAACCTTGGAGTTCATAGTGCTGGAAAAAGATATTCAGCTGAGCTCTAACTACAGTTGTAAGGGAGCAATATGTGCCCAGATTGATTAAAATTGGGGTGATGATTGCGTGGAGCCTGAGACCAGCCCGAGGAGGAGGTGAAGTGCTCCTGTCAGTGCTGCACGGAGCAGGCTGTGTGCTGTAAGCCCAGGAGGCAGAATCCATCCTGGCCACCAGTCTGGTGTCAGCTTCACCTCTCTGAGACTTTTTTACTCCTTGTTTTGATTTTTTTTCTGTCATTTCATCGTGCCTGCAAAGGCTGTGAGTCCTTTAAGGGACAGCCCGACTGGCTGGTGTGTGTTGGCACAGGGAGCCAAGGTTGGAGCCCTCAGGTACCAGCAGAAGGTCAGGGATGGACAGCTCACCTTGGTCAGTGCTTGCTTGCCAGGAGGTCCAGACTGGTGTCACGTTGGAGCAACTCCACTGGCTTGGGTAGCATTTCTGGAGGCTTGTGCTGGCGTTAATAATTTGATTATCTGGGCTTTTTGTGCCGCTTCACCCATATGCATGAGGCATAGAAAGTGGTAATGAACTCCTCTGGGGGATGAGGCTCTATCATCCCTACCCCACCTGAGTAACTGGGGTGGGGAGAGAGGCCCAGCTGAGGCCAGGAGCTGTGCAGGATTATGTTCTGAGCACAGTGGGCAGTGACTCATGAATTGAAGGGCTGTGGAGATGGATTTTGTTGGCAGTGCGTGTTTGTGGAGCGCAGTCTCCCTGTGGCTGGCTGTTGACACAAAACTCGAGTGCTTCCCGGCTTTGTATTGCAAAAATGACTTTCCTCTCGCATTAAAAATTTATGTTGGGTGAAAAGATCAGAGTGTGGAAGCTGGGTGAGAATATTCCCCCTCCCAGCACCACACACACACCTCATTTAGGTGTAGTTTTCCTGTGAA